TCGCCTGACCTAGATCAAAGCCGGATAGTTACTAATAGTGTGACTATTGGTTACATCTGCTTCCAAGCAGAGCCGACTTTCTGTTTTCTCCTACAGACTCATTTTGTTGAAGTAGTAATGCAAGCCATATATGTGTAAGAGGTTACGCCTTCTCAAAAAAAAAATTGTAAATCCGTACTTAATAGAAGGAACAATTTACGTGCGAATTACTCGGACTATCGCGTTAGTAGTGAGTTTTTTCAATAAAAATTTACTTTTTTATATAGTACTTAGTTGTAAACCAGTTTGTTTCACAACGAGGCTCCAATCTACTGAATTGTGAAAGGCTAAATCCTCAATCTATGCAAATAAAATATATTTGGTATTTAATATTAAAGAAACAATAACTTACGTCTTCAACTAAAATATATAAATTTTTTTTTGCTAATCATTATCATACTTAAAATCAGATAGGGCTTTGCTAGATGCCAAATCGCACTGAATGCCAGTTTTAGATGAACTTAAAGCTCAAGTAAGCCTAAAGTAAAAAATATAATTTTATTAAGATGACATTTCTGTTCATCTCTGTGTTGTTGTGCGAACAAATTCTCTCCGTATTTTAATCCAACTTATCACATAGTTATAGTTTTAAATACATGTTATTAATTTTTTTTTATAGTTAAAAATCCTATTTTCATTTTTTCTAATTAAAACTAAATATTGTTGTTACCTATTCTAACTAAATAATAATTTATTTTAATAGAAACTAGAATATATTTATGCAAAATTCTTCAGATTTTCATATAATTAAGAAGCAAAGAGAATGTGTAGCAAACTTCAAACGATGCAAAAAAAAAATTTTTTTATCTTTGCTATGTAAACTATTTTGCTTGATTTGCTAGATTGCAGCTACATTATTTACATGCAACCTCAAATTGCAATTTTTGCAGGCGCCTCATTGTTTTTTTTTTAAGTACAAAAGAAACTAGAAGGAAGTGTTTGTAGTTACTTCTACAACTTTGTCAGTTGCTTCCGTAGGTATTTTACTTAACTCATAAATATACAAACTTATTCATTTAATACACATCTGCATTCTCACATTACATGTATTTTTAAAAATGTTTAAATAATGCCTTCCGGCGCTACGACAACTCAGAAAGCTATTTACACCGAAGGGGCTTGGCATTTTACAGATATTCTAACCTATTGTGGTTTTCTTGTTAACCAACAGTGGTTAATTGTAGTCACTTATAACTATAAATTAGATAATTGTGTTCAAAGTAAACGTGTTTAGTAAAATTATGTGGTAAAACTAATTAATATATATGTTATATATACAATATATATATTTACAAATGAATATAAATAATTGTTAATTAAAAGAATGAATAAATTAAATTCTGCATGAGAATTTGTATATTTTTTAATAAAGTGTAAATTGTTAACCCAATAAAAATATCTAAATAATAAAATATGCCAATCTTCAATCTATCTCTCAGTTCAAGTTTTCAGATTTCTTTCATTTAAATACGATGTTAGCCAACTAAAAGTTTTGTATTCACATACTGTCAGCAAAGAGTACAAAATTTTTTAATAAGTCTCTGATAAGGTTACTCTGTGTGAGCTATATCAAAGGAAAAACTAAAATTACGTGCTGTACCTAAGTTCAGGATATCGAGTACAACCACTATCAGAACTATAATATTTTATTATACGTTTACTATGAAATTCCGATGCACTAACTCGGAAAAGGCTCTACATATATCAACATATACATATATATACTGTACTATAAAATTATAGTTTATTGATGATGATGTGATGAGCATATAGGTAATATAAGGTTTCGTACTATGACTCTAGTAAGGCCAACTTATAGTAGAGAGCCCATATTTTTGAAAAGATACTTGAATTCATTTTATATTAGAGTTATGGGTGTCGTATACGGTACCGATATTTAATACATAAATAATAACACGTATTATTTGAATACGTATTTTCATATTAGGTAATCCTAGTTTGTTACCGCATTGAGCACTTAAATGGTTGCCGTATTACGAGATACCGTCCTAATTCAATCTGAATAATGTTGCGAATGAACAAATTTTCAGTAAGTTATATATTATTCATCATCATTTCAGAAATTTACTCTTTCTGATTAAATTTCCGTCCACTATCAATCTCTAGTTTAATTCAATAAACAAATTATTTAATAAAATATAAAAGTAGGCAATGCTGTAATCAAGAAATACAAAATTTAACCCATGTTATTTGGCAACTACAAATCGGTGCAGGTCAGCGTGTTATTAAGTAATCTACTTATTCTTAAATTATTATTATTATTAACACAAGATACCTGATCATTTCGGATGAACATGGCAAAAATTTCATATCCGCTTAAGTTGTTATAGTTTCACTGTAAAACAGTTAATACTTTTCTATATAGCTGAGAATTGTATAGTAATTTTTGTCTATTAGAGCAGGTTGTGTAGCAATCCGTTTGGAATGATTAAGTTAATTGTTTTAAATAGTTTCGAATTCGCTATAAAACAAATACAAACAACGAATTTACAATTTTTCACTCCATACTATTATTATAACAAACTATAATTCAAATCAATTAAAATACGAGTGGTTCATATAATTTTACACTGAATAATAGTTGAGCTCGCCAAGTGCATATAGACCCTGTTACTCTTGGACTATTGTACTTACGAGTATAGTCATGAATATATTCCTAGCAACAGTTACTAGTGGTTTTTTTTTTTTTTTGTAATAAATGGTTAAATCAGGTCAACAGTGTTTAACCAAGCGTTTCTTTTGCATAAAAATTGTAACAAAAATCTACAAAGTATTCGTTATTATAAATCACTGCATTAGTTCAGTTCTTGTTGTTGCTATTAGATTTTTGCTGACTTTACATTGTGGTGTAATCACCAAAGCAATTAATCATATTATCTCTAAACATTTTCATAAAATAGTTAAATATTCATTCTATGCATTAACACCTTATCTTACAATATTCGTCAATATATGATATACTTTACAAGGTTTCATACTAATGAACTGATTAGCTAGCTCTTTATTAATAATTTATTGGCTTCCAAATGTTTAGAAATCCCAAAAATATTTAATTGCTAAATCAAGTTGGGAAATTATTTATTGGAATTTTTGACTATCTATTTAATACAATGCATTAAGACAATTAAAACAAATATATTTATATATATATATATATATAGCAACTAAAAATAAAATTGTATATTTTAATATTGTCTATTATAAAAATATGTACTTAATATTTATAAAAATAATTTAGTTTGTATTAAGCATTGCAAAGATATAGAAGTAATAAAACTTATTCTGAACTAACAACGCTCAATAACTCTGATATGCTAAATTTAAACCAAATTTGTTGGAAAAATTCGCTGGAATAATTATATTCTATACTTTATACATCCACCTCAGAATGCGCCTCGGCTTGGAAGAGATTGAAGCTTCTAGTCATATTCTATGAGGAGCAGGATATTAGTACACAGGAGTGCCTGTTACTTTCGGATGTTAGATGAAACCCAATAATTGACATTTTGATCTTCAGCTAAAAATAAGCTTAAACTTTCTGCCTACAAATTCAATCTGTATGACAAGAAGTATAATGGCACGCGGGAACGTTTTATGCTCTTCTATATAAGAAAACCTCAACAAATGTCGCTTTGGCCTTCAGTCGAAAGGCGGAGTTTCTTCTGTTGAGTTATGTTGCTGTAGTCCCACTCTACTAAAACCCATTCTTCTTATTAACATTGTTTTTAATTCAATGCTATATTTGCCTCATAATGCATAAAAATATTCAACACTTAATATATGTCTCTTATGTCTGCCAAGTTAACTAAAAGTTTAGAAATAATTACTTTTAACTCTTATTGATATAAAGATTATAGTGACACTGAAGTCCACCTGAAGTTGGAACATAAATTTTTACAATTTTTCTGTAAGAATACAGAAAATTGGCTTTGAATACAATTGTTTTTATTTTGACAAACTAATAAAGTATTAGCAGAACAAATACTCGTACATTAAATTTCGTTTTAATTTAAACTCGAATGTGCAATAGATTGTCCGTATTTCAATAATTATTAGCCATTATATTATAATGGCTAAGTGTGACCACTAACTTCTTTGGCATTTTTCCATAGTAATGACTAACATTTATTATCCTAAGAAGCAATCGTAAAATATCGAATGTCTTGTGACTCAATGCATTTTCTTATTTAATTTTTATTTTTAATGCAATTTATTATTGTCTTTTCAAATTGTGATTTCATATTATTAAATTGTTTATCTTTCTATAATTATTTTATTGAACTTGTACACTTAAAAAACAATTGATAAAAGTCAAAAGTAAATAAATATGATTGTAAACATTTGTCATTTTTTTGATACAATATAAATGATAGCGTAAAATAAAACCCAGGTATTATATGAACATTAAAAGAGGTTGTAAGTATATATAATACTATATTCAATCTGTACATATGTACTCTATTGTTATTTGCAAAGAATGTTAGGCTATAACAAAAGGAATTTCCTTATCAGTTATCAAAAGGTAATCAACTATTCTTAGCATTACGAACTTTTACTTTTGTCGATTTTTGATAAGAAAACAATAGAAATGCAGGAGTCTAAAATAAAAAATACGAGGGCGTACATATAAGTACTTTAGAAATATCAATATGTATTTGCTCTAGTATGCGTTCGTTTATTAATTGATAAGAAATACACCTGAACTGAAAGAAAACTGATACACTTATGATATATAGTACATATATTTTAATATCTTTTTATGAGATTGCGTCACTAAAGTATGTCGCATTGCAAACAGATAAGAAAATAACTTCCGTTTAAGCAAAGTTACTTCAGTACTAAAAGAAATTTTAACAAAGCAGCAGTAAAAATTTAATTGTAAAACATTTTGCGCGGTATCAAGTATCTCAAATGCAATTAAGTGAAAAAAATTAAATTACATAAAAAAAATCTTTTTTTGTTTAGTACAAAATGTCGTAAGCGAAACTTACGATCTTAAAAGTGTAAACCAAAGTAAAAAAGTGTGGCTAACATACCAAAGATAACGCACAAACACAAAACAAAACATAACTTAAGAAAAAATAATATACCAAAATGTTTGATATATCACCAAAATGTCCAGCTTTGGCTAGTAAACTAAGCGGCATATTTGGTTGGCGTCATACATACAAAGTATCCGAAAAGCATGAAGGGATTACGCATGCATATCTTCAGAAATCGTATTCATTGACACTACCTCCCAAGCGTCCACCATCGCCGTATTTATTTGCTAAGGTAAATCGAAATCTATAGTTGCATAAATAAACAATACTAATTTTAATAAAAATTAATTAATCTTATTCAAAATTATATATACATGTTTATATATTTCGAAATCATTAGAAATAAGTATTTTAGGTTTGATTTTTCAACTATCTTGATAAGGCGAAATCTATCTCAGCTAGGCGAATTACTTTACATAATCATATTCCATATCAATAGCAACTAAGCCATCTTGGCTTAGTGATGATACTTCATATTATACTAGTATATATTGACTTTAATACAAGACTACTTAAGCTTACTCTACCTACTACTGAACATGCTTTATCTTCATTTTAAAAGAAATTTTGTATCAAGTAGCCTCTGCAGTTGAAAACAATGATGCTATTTAAGTTAAAACTGAAGATACTCTTATATTCGCAACTTTTTGAAAATCTAACGCAGCAATAATATACTGATTACACATATAGAACATTTATATGATTCCCTTTACAAAAGATATATACTTGTAAAGAACGTAGTAACTAATGAAATTAAAAAGATGAGGATGAGAAATCAATTTAAAATCAATATAAAAGATCTATAAAAGGTTTATATTTTAAAATAGGTCCTAGTTTCCTTTATTTCATAAATCATTTTACAATTGCAATATAACCTTTTAGAATGGTACACATAAAACAAATAAATATATAAATTATGTATATACTTATAGAAGATCGAGAAACAGGGAAACTAGCAAATCATTCAGCGAGCTTAAAGCATTAGCGCGTAATAGGGGTGTCTGGAAAGCATATGTAAATAGACTAAGTTCTTGAATTGTGATTGTAATTTATAGAACATGTTATAATAATAATATATTTATAATTTATATATATAATTTATAACCTTGGCACTTGTAGTCCAAATAAATTATATACAGACTATAAACTATAAAGTCCAAATAAATTATATACAGACTATAAACTAATTAAAAAAAAAAATTTATTTATTTATAATGAGTACTTGACAATAATCGAAACAGCGTTTCAATAAATTAAATAAATTTCAATAAATTAACTAAAATTGTTGTTGTTGCCTTTCTATTTCTATTCGAAATCTTCAAACTTTAAAATTCTTTCTTTTCGTCATAAGACGGCGTGGCTTTTGACAAAATAAAATTAACATTAATATAAATTATTGTTTAAACTACAACTTTTTCATCTTGAAACATAGAAGGTTATAACGAAAATAGTAGTAATAAGTATAAAACACTGATTTGCCGATCGGAAAAAGTGAATATGATTTGAAAAATTAAGGCTTAAATTGACGATAGTTCGTTTTGTGCTGGAACACATATGATTGCTCAACTGAATATATTGAAAACAAACAAATACTCAATGAGCTCAAAGTAAAACTTTATAAGTTCCAAAAAAAATATAAACTTGATCAATACTAAAAAAGGAACTAAGCTCGATAGAGCAAAATCCTCGTGGCGCTCTTACGAACGTTGCCAATTGCCATAAAAACTAAAATTGTTTGATGAAAAAATTTTCCAATAGAGAAATCTGTAAATAAACAAAATTACTTACTATGTATACAGTTTATTTAAATAGTAGTCGATTAAAAATATTGATAATCGAATAACTCTAAAACATCAAGCAACACTGGTTATGTTCATTTGGGAAGCCTTATGATAAATGGTCGTTCTCCGCTAATGTTTTTGAACTATAGTCACAAGGTTAGTGCTTATGTCTAAGCTTGAAACAAATCATGATTCTGAAGTTATAGCCCATCAAACATTTAAATAAGCGATAAAGGACATTAGAACAAGATTTATAAAAGTTGCGCTTAGTTCCGTAAAATTGCAATTCAATTTGAACATCCAATAGATATAATTTTATGAAATCATTATAAACAAATTCGCTAGATTTCCTACTGTTTAAATTAAATTTTTATTAAATTGATACCAAATCTAAAGTGTTCTACAAATATTTTGTAATAGAGTCAATTAAGTTCATAACGTTGATAAATTACCGTACGAGTAGTATTAAATAATTCTTCTCCGATAGGAAGTTTTGCTCTGATAGGAGAAATAGTTAAACGCACATCTGTGAATTTATTATTGTCAAGGAATTAAAAAAATAAAATAGTTTTCGGCTGTCTGAAAAGAATATTTTTGAGATAGGGACTTACAATAGATTCACGTACTCTGTTTTACTGCTTATTACATCATTATTTTTTCACTTGCAGAATATCATAGATGTCTGCTTCTGGTCTTGAATGTATTATAAATCCATATTCAATGAAAACGTTAATATTTTACTGCAAAAAATATTTAATTAATTAGCTCAACAACATAATAGATAATATAAACTCGAAAAACTTTGTAGAACATTTCTTTCAACTGATTTTCTCCACTGGTGGAGCTGACTAATTTCTTGATTTCAAATTTTTGTATACGTGATTTTCAAATCGTACCAAATAACATTAAGTAATGTCCAGCTTTATCAATCTAATCATATTTTCAGTATTCGTTGCAATTATTGCAGTGTCATAAAGTTTTTAATCAAAATGCTTTTTTATACCCACGTTAGAAATGGTGATAATCTATCAAAAGCCTTCAAGTTTATATTGCTTAAGATTTGCATTGATAAATTAAGTGCATCTGACTGACCATATGTACAAATTAATGATATTTTATTTATCAAGTCGAAGTCAAGGGCAAAATTAAAACCGAAGGCGTACTATACTTGGAAGCTTATCTCTCTAGACTACGCGTTTTCGAATTAAGCCAATTTGGAATAATGTTTCGCATTAAATAGCAAATAAAAATTAATTTTTCTTATTTTATAAAATTGTGAATTAATTAATAATAAAGTTGCATATGGGAGGAGTCCAACAAAATCAAAGAGTCATTCAGAGAAATAGAAGGGCTTCGGTAGCACAATTTGTGCATTTCTTGCTCTGATCGCAGCACTTTTTTAACCTTTTTTTTATAGTTTTACCCAAAGTTTTTAATACTATTTTACTTTATTTTTTTTTTTTTTTAATATCATGTGATTGTAAAATTGACCCACATTTTTTTTGTTTTGCTTTAATAAAATAAATTTGTTAACAATTTTCGTTTTTATTTTGCTTATTGCTGTTTTTTTTTCTTTTTGAATTCTTTCCCAACAAATTTATTTTTTTTATTACCTCTGATGCATGCTCCGTTGCATTTCTGTGATGCAATTGCATTTGCTGTTAACCAACTGAGTTTCTTTACTGTTTCATTGCAATGGAATTTCATCTTCTTGATTTCATTGCTCACATTCGGTGTAGCCGTTGCATTGGTTGCATTGTAGCGATTGTGCACTGCCAACAGAGCTGAAGTCATTACAGTCGAGACCGACAAATTTGTTTTCCATGCATTTCAGTGTGGAACACCCACGTGCAGCAATGCTCAATAGTCAGTACTCCATGGAGTTCCAGTTTGAAATATGATTGAACTAATAAACCAGCAAAAGTGTTACAATTTAATTTGTTTTTGAAATTTTCTGTTACTCAACAGGCCAAAATAACAAACCTAAAAAAATATCTAAACTTGAATGATTACAAATTTGCATTCTTATATTTATAGAAAATTCTTAAATATTCTCAACATTCATCAAATATGCATAATGCGTCTATTATTTGTTTGCCGTTTTAGGCCGACTTCCTTTTGCCTTCTTATGTCAATGTTTACCTTCACGCACTCACATTTATAATAATTAAAAATTCTTAGAACGTTTCTAAAATGTAAATAATAATTTTTATTTTGTCTCTCTTCCGTTTTAGGAACCAGATTCTTGGGTAGCTGTACATCATTTACAAACACAGTCCGGTATACTCGATCCAGACGATTGTATTGGTGATGTAGCTGATGATCGTGAACAAATACTTGCTAGTTTTGAAGATTCAGGGCCAGATCCCGGTGTGCCGCAGGGTGGCGGTGATGGTGCCTCAGGCAGCTCATCTGTTGGTACTGGTTCTCCAGATATATTTCGAGATTCCACAAACACAGATGCGCCTACAAATGGTACACATATCGACGCTTCAACACCTCATATTGAGGTAACTAGTATCCCTTCAGGCCCAATGACTGGTTTGGGCTTGCAAGTACGCCGTAGCAGTGATCCTAATTTATTGGCATCACTAAAAGCAGAAGGTGGAAATAAACGTTGGTCAGCAGCAGCACCGCATTGCGCAGGTGATTCACCGGAACGTATCTCAATGGAAAAGAGTGGTTACTTAACACCACAATGGGAGGAAGAAGATGATACTCAGCATGCTACCATTGTAGTACCATCTCAACAACCATTTGCTCGTTCAGGTCGTTTGTCAATGCAATTTTTTGGCGATGGCAACGGTTATAAGTGGATGGAAGCTGCTGAAAAATTGCAACAACAACAACAGCACCATTATCAACAACACCCGCCGCAAAACTATCAGCAACAAACACAAATTTACACCACCAAATCACTGCCACGCGAAAGCAAACGTAAAGAGCCACTTGGTCAAGCTTACGAATCAATACGTGAGAAAGATGGGGAAATGTTATTAATTATAAATGAGTATGGCAGCAAATTGGGTCTTACTGCTATACCAGATAGTGAACATGGCGGTGGTTTAATTGTACAACATGTCGAACCAGGTAGTCGAGCTGAGCGGGGAAGACTCCGTCGTGGTGACCGCATACTTGAAATCAACAATACCAAACTAATTGGGCTAACAGAAAGTAAAATACAGGAGCATGTGCGTCGCTTATTGGAAGCGTCGGAACTGCGTGTAAGAGTTTTACGTGCTGATCAAAAAGGTAACAAATCACGTAGACGTGATTTGAAAGTAGCAGAAATGATAGAAGCGGAAGAGAAAATGGCAGCTTCTTCTGAATCAAAGGTTGCTACTGTTTCGCCTACACGTAAACCACATGCAACAGCCTTTGGTGCATCGTCACAAGTATCTATTGAGATCATACTGAAAAAGGGACCAAATGGCTTAGGTTTTTCCGTAACAACACGAGATATTCCTGTGGACACACTTTCCAGTGGCGGTCAGTGCCCAATATATATAAAGAATATATTGCCACGTGGTGCAGCTATAGAAGACGGACGCTTAAAACCAGGTGATAGATTATTGGAAGTTGATGGTGTGCCCATAACTGGTAAAACACAAACAGATGTCGTATCGATATTAAGAGCAACACAATCGGGAGCTACTGTGCGAATTGTGGTTTCAAGAAAACAAGAGTTAACAGGCGAAAGAGAAATTGTAAGTATAATTATTTAAAATTAAATATTAAAAATTTTATTACATTTTATTTTTAAGAACGAAAACAAAAAAGATGATTTAAGTTCACCTTCAAAACCACCCGCGCCTGTGTTGCCTGTTTCAATGCAGAAAACACACTCCAAACAAGATAAGCAATTCAATGGTGTACATAAATCAAGCAGCGCTCGTTCTTTATTTGAACAGCACAGACAACAACAGCAGCAAAATATCAATGAATCTCAGCATTTTATTGACGCTGGTAGTGAATCTGCCGCTTCGACTGTAAGTTATTATTAAAAAATTATTTCTTCAAAATAATATATGAAATTTTTCTACATTTAATGTTTATAGGATAGCATACAGGCTGGCATTGCTTGGAGATCTCGTGAAGTGGTCACACTTCACATACCCGTGCATGACACTGAAAAAGCAGGTCTTGGTGTTAGTGTGAAAGGAAAAACTAGTTCAAATACTTCATCTTCCAGTGGTAGTAATGGCACTATTAAACACGATGGAGATTTGGGTATATTTGTCAAGAACGTTATACATGGAGGCGCTGCGTCACGAGATGGTAGACTTCGTATGAATGATCAGCTCTTAAGTGTGAACGGAGTTTCATTGTTAGGCCAAAACAATGCAGAAGCGATGGAAACTTTACGTAGTGCTATGATTAACAATCCAGGCAAACATCCGGGTATGATAACTTTATCAGTAGCACGGAATATTGCTCGCTCTGCTAGTTCTGGTGATATTTTAGAACAAACAAACGATAGTTCGAATACGAGCGAAAATTCCGGTGCCACGGTTATATACCTAAGTCCTGAAAAGAAGGATGGACGTTGTAATAACAGTAATGGTGGAAATTCAAATGAAATGAATCGGTATGTTAAAAAATAATTAGTGGGCTTATTTATTAACAAAGTTAATCATTTTATTTTTAAATCCCCCCTTTAAATTAAATTAAATTTTGTATTCTCTATAGTTGGAGCAATCCTGTTTTGGATCGTCTAACCGGAGGTGTTTGCACATCGAATTCATCAGCAGCTCAGCACAGGCGTCGACCATCGCGCGACCAATTGGCGAATAATAATGTTGTGAACAGTTTACATTCATCTGGAGGTGTACATGGCTTACGTAATGACAGCTATTACATAGCGACAAATGATACTTGGTCACCTGCTTTGCATCAGCACCATATGTCAAATGGTTGTATGAATAATAACGTTTTAATTGAAGATGATCCGGAACCTATGTCACCGTAAGTTTAATGGAAAAAATTATATATATAAAATCATTAACACCAATAATATTTTTCTATAGCACACTACCGCATCGTCCAAATGACTCGGTTTGTACACAGAGTAGCGCCAATACATCAATTGCCAATGCGGGTGTTGCAACCAATTTTGATGCAACCTACTCCTCACAATTAAGTTTAGAAACTAACAATTCTGGTGTCGAGCATTTTAGTAGAGATGCACTTGGGCGTCGTTCAATCTCAGAAAAACATCATGCTGCGTTAGATGCACGTGAAACCGGGACTTATCAACGTAACAAGAAACTGCGCGAAGAACGTGAACGTGAACGTCGCATACAACTCACGAAGTCAGCTGTATACAGCGGTTCAGTGGAGTCACTAACAGCACGAATAGCTAACGCTAATGCTCAAATACCTGGTTATAGACATACAAAAACAGCATCTGGTATAGAAACACAACAACTACAAGCAGAAGCACAAGATAAACTAGGCGATTTAGGTCCATCTCTAGGCTTAAAGAAATCTTCATCGTTGGAATCACTACAAACGATGGTGCAAGAAATACAAATGTCCGATGAACCACGTGGACCAACAGCATTACGTGCGCCAAGAGGTCGTGGTCGTGAGGAAGGTTTGCGTGCAGCTGTTGTTAGCGATCATGATGTTACTAGTAAGTTTATGATTTTTTTACGAATTTTATGGCCGAATTAATGTTTACCGGATCAGAGTTTAAATTTATAATAAATTAATAGTCAGTTATGTAGTTATGTAGCCTTTCAGGTCGCTGTTAAATGAGCTAGCTTTACGAAGTACTGGAATCTTTACAAGAATATTTATTTTTATTTTTATTTGAAAGTATTTATTTTTTTTTTTTTGAAAGTAGTGAGATGAACGTAAGGTGTTGAGAAATCTGGTATTAGAAATAAACCCACAGAAGCAGCTCAATACATTTTAAGGAGACTTGTAGCTGAAAAGCTACTTAAAAATGTATATAGAAAGTCTTGTATTATCTGTAAAACCACACAAGGCATACAATATTTTTAGGCGGAGTTTAAAACCTCTGGTGTTATGTGTTCAGCCACATAGGGCATAGGTAATAATAATTATATAGGTAGTATTCTGAAGTCTTGTAGTGTCTGTAAAACCAGTTATGAGCATTTGACACTTTAAGGATTAACTCAAGAAGACCTATAAAATCACACAATAAGGTATTTCCAGAAGTTATATGTAATCTGTAAATCACACAAGGATGAATTCAAGAAGTCTTATTATCAGTAAACCCACACAAAATCGTAGGGTATTTTACGAAGGAGCCTTGGAACATTCGTGTGACTATTGCGTAGCTTTACTTAAGCCACACAAAAACATAGAGTTTCTAAGAAGTTTTGGGTGACCTGTAAAGCCATGACACATAAGCATAGGACTTTTTAAGAAGTGTTAAATTACCTGTAGAGCTATAAAAGAACTTAGCGTAATTAGGAAGTATTGTATTGCCAGATTAGCTACACAAGAGCATAAAATATTTTACATATTAAAAACATAATATTTTTTATAGAAGCACGAAAACATTGGCTACTGGAGGAAACTGACAACAATGACGGCGGTTTCTCGCATCGCAACGGACCATTCCAAAGTTCCCTTAATGATGGTAAACATAAATCTCGCGCCAAAAAGCCAAGTATTTTACGTGGTATTGGACATATGTTCCGCTTTGGCAAGAATCGTAAAGATGGTGTTGTGCCTGTCGAAAGTCAACCAGCAGCGACTTCAAATACGAACGCAGAGCGTACAAATACAACAACAGCATCGTCACAAAACAACAAAATTCCTGCTGCTGCACTAGCAGCACTAGATCGTAATGCGAAAATAGCGCCACCCGCCTATCAGCCGCCGCCACCATTACCACCAGCAAATCCAATAAGCTCAAGTGGTAATATCATCACTGATAGTCGTGGTAATATATTGAATAATAATGGCATACACCAAAATGATATATTCAATCAACGTTATCAACACTACGCAAACTATGATGAATTGCATCAGCAGCAAATTAGGTGAGCGCGCGTTTGCTATACTTAACAAAATTCTTATATTAACAAAAAAAAATTAAAAGACAACAAAGAAGTTTACTAAAAACTAACTTTTAACGGAAATTTTCTTTATCATTCTAAAAATTTCTATTAAACTAAAAACCTGACAAAAATAGACTAAGAAATTCCAAATCCGTCACAAAAATGTTTCTGAAGCACATGTGTATCTGATGAAAGGTATCTCGAAAAGGTATCTTTTCTATTGCAAAGATCATTGTATTCTAAACATAGTGCCATGCTTTATATCTAATGCTTGTAAGCACGAAACATACACAAAGACACATGATCATGGTGATTAATAATAATGAACACACATATACACACTGTTCTATTCAAAACATTTTCTAACATACACATACACACTAATTACATATAATCTATCTCTAAACCCTATGTCTACATTTTATATATAAACTCTATTTTTCTATTTTCCTTTATCCACTTTCTATTTCTTTTTTTTTATATATATGTTTATATGCAAATTCACGCTCGTATCTCGAAAACCTAAATGTAAAATAACTTAAATCGCAAACACAATATACAATATACATATGTAACCCATCGTGAATATGTAGTGATGATAACTCCTCAACTAATGAAATTTTATCGGAGTCCACATTAGAATGCATGCGGCAACAAGTTAAGATGCAACGCATTAAAGTCGAAGCTGAAAGGTAACTAATCCAATACACACTCCAACATACAACGTTTCTGGACACAAGCTGCATGTGTCATTTTTGTTTTGCTTGCTTTAGTTTAATAATTTTTTATTAATATATAAATATTATATGAGTATATATATATATATATGGTATATATATATATACTGCAGAGATGTGTAGAATTTTTAATGCTTTTAATTTCGGGTATCTTAACTTGCTTGACGTAGTACTCAATTCTTTTAAAATTAAAAATATATATTTTTTTCTTAATGATTTTGTTTTTTAATTTAATAAAAATAAAAATACTGACTAGTGGTAATTTTATAATTACTTAAGTTAGTTAAATTATTTCCACTGATTTTTATTTACATTTTTAACTTATTTAACCTATAGCGCAAATAAAGTTATATATTATAAAATAAGTTTAAAGTAGTTACTTGTTTCAATTGCTTTTAGTATAAACACCAATGCAGGAAATATAGGGAACCTATTATTACGGAAACTCTAGACATCTACTCTGTTTCTATTAGACTCTTTTAAAAGCAAATTTGGTTCCGATATCAGACATTGAGCTGAACTATGCTTTAAAATTCAATTATGACACACCCATCTTCAGTAATTCTAGTCTGGAATTGAATACGGATTAAATTGTTCTATTGTATGTGTTCTCTGTCCGTCTGCCAGCTCTATGTTACATATCTAATAATAACACGATTAGCCGATTCGTTTGCTTTATTATTTATGGATCATTCTAAACAATATTATATATATTATATCCAGAAACCCTTACAAAAAATAATGATTAAGATCATTCATAAATATTATGATATAAATAAAATCATTAATTAATTTAGATAACTAAATTAACTTTATAATATAAATTAGTAATCAATTTCTCTAGTTATTTAGATAATTCTTGAGTTATTATTGCTGTAATCTTACAGTCATTTAAACCATTTACAAGCAAATGTATTTAATAAGAAATATTATTTACATTACATATATTATGGGTAATCGTTTAACCATTATATATTTTAAATTTTTTTCAATTAATTGATTGTTTCATGATATTTTTACGGGCCAATTAAAATTTCACGTCATAAACCACACTAAGCTGTTAATTTTTTTTTGTAGAAATTAAAGTGTCCCATAAACAACGTCCGGACTTTTTACACTCCAAATACGGGAACTAAGCTTATTTCTCAAGCCATTACGAAGCCAAAAACTAAATCCATCGCTTAAGATAACTTTTACCTGAAATGTTTGGTCTGTTTTAACTTACCCTGAAGCTCATTCTTGTTTTTATGCAATAAATTAGAATCTAATTCAAATTAGTCCATGGTGAGTTATTGAATATTGAATATATTAGCTATCGGTAAGTGTGCTTGTTTCGGATTTTTAAAAAAAACATCTCTGTAGCTACATCCATGCTAAAGAAATAAATAAAAAATTGCTAATATAAAATAATTTTGACCTGTAACCAACCTTATAGTTACCAGTCAATAATTCAATCTCTTTGAAAAATGTGAACTGACTGAACTACACCTAGACCCGTTAGATGCGTAACAATATCAGATTAGGTAGTTAATGACAATACATATTTCGTAAGTTGTGTGTATTATTGACTAATGTTAAGAATTAGTTCACTTCAACTAAGAGATGAAGCTCAGCCCCTTAAAGGATTTTTGTCGAGTGTTTGCGAAAGACAAGTAGAAACAAAGGAAATGTCCGAGGGTATTTAAAACCCACTTACTAAAATTTCCTACATTAATCACTGCTGGCGATATAACTTAAAATGTAGTGGTGTTTTACTTATTATTTACTGCTTATTTATTACAGTTGAAAATATTATTGCTTACTTTCTAAAGTTATTACCAAAAATATATTTATTTTTAATTATATTTTTTGAATTTGACTACACTAAAATGTTCTAATGTGCTTGCCTCATTTATTGTATATGCATATCTATTTTGGCATGTATTCTTATTACTAACTTGCTTTTGCTACATGCATATACACATATATTCATATATGTGTTATTTATATTGTAAATAATTATTTGTAAATATAGTAAACAATATTATTCATCACGATTTTTCTCTTTCATAAACGCTTGCATTTTGTCTATTATATTTTTATGGTTGATATTGACTGTACAGTCGTCGCCATCATCATTATCATTCGCAACGTAGTGCACGGTCGCAGGATATACAACTACAACAACACATATTACTGAACAAAAATAATAACAACTCGAATAATAGCAATTCCAACAATATTAGTCCAATGAATGGTGGTCTAAGACCAAACTCCAGTTATTACGAATATGAGACAGTGCAACATAATGTCAGTGGTACACAACAGCTACTGCAACAACAACGCACTGGCAGTATTAAACAAAATGGTCATCACTCACCCATTACAGTGAATGGTCACCAGCAAACCTCTGGCCAAGCTCAACCACATTGGAAAGCTGCAACCATGAATGGTTTCTCACCAGCGTCACTAAATAGTAGTGCACGTAGTCGTGGTCCTTTTGTCACACAAGTGAATATTGTACGAGCTGATAATACGGTTACCACTACTCAGCAGCCTACCTACCAGACAGTGCAGAAACAGCAACCACAGTTCTCCAGCGCTGTCGGTAGCATGACCCAACCGCATGCTTCAAAAGTGTGACTATAGGCGCACGCTCTTCGCCGCACACTGCTTAACGGCGAAGACGTTGCTATCGACAGGGACAATTCTAACGAAACGGATATTAAATTATTAACAAATAGCGAGGTAGACATATTTTATATGGCAACGGAATGTTGAATTACATTCATGTAAACAGCAACAATTTATGGAAAACAGTGCCTAGCAAACAGCGCTATGCTGTAGATTGTAAATTAAAATATACAATTGTAAACGAAGTCCTTAATTTAGTTTGTAGTAATGAAAATGAATCCCTTTATTTTCATATGAAATTGTTTAAAAGTTTTTAAATAAACTCCATTTAATAAAAACTTTTATTACTGTTAATATTACTGGCAAATAAAAAAAATTTGTTGAAAGCCTTCCATGGAAAGTGGCCGCCCAATAAAATGCAAACCAAATGTATTTTGTTGCTAATTTGTAATATATAAAATAAACTTATATGAGTAATTTGTTATATCAAGTTGACAAATAAGTACTTATAAATAATGTTAAACAATTAATTTTTTGCTATAAACAGTATTTTTTTCTTAATGTTTTTATATTAAATTAAAATTAATTGTATTTTTAACATTTAAGTTCGTATATGTTTATACATAAATTCATTAGATATTAATGTTAATTGAAACGAATTAAATATTATCTTTTGTTATATATTTAATAATACATTTTTTTATATTTGAAACGAATCACGATTATAAAAGATGACTTAAAGATTTAAAATTTTTATATTAAATTGACTAACAAAACTCAAAATGAATTCAAGTCAGGATTGATTTAATATTTACTAAATTTACAATGTAAATTTATTTAAATTAAAATTCAATTGGTGTTTATTTAAAATTGGAGAATAAATAAATATAAATACATTTGAAAAAAAAAAAAAATAATAAAATTTGCACTTTAAAAACAAATCAACTGTGATGAATTTTTTATAGGGATATTCACAATCTGAGATAATGAATTAGATAACTGAGTAACATAGGTGAAGAACTATATAGCAGAAATCATAAATGAATGGGTACATCTGAGGAAAGAAAGATCACTGTGTATGACAAGGAAAGGTTGAAGGCGTAAGTGGGTTGTTATATGTGTTATTGCTCATTTAAACTCTTATCAGGTTACTCGTTTACCCGGCTCTTTACTCAAGATCGTGAATACCACTAATATTTCTATGTATTAAAGTGCGAATTTTATAATTTCATTAAATTAAAATTTAATTTTTTGGTATACCTATAACAGAACGTAACGAATACAGTTTTGTATTTAATGAAAATCTTTAGAATTAATAAATCGAATTAACAAAAATACAAAAAAAAATCATATAAGCAATAAACATTTTATAAATGTAAAGCACATCAAATCAACAATGAATTATACGTCTGGAAAACATAAAATTATTTAAGATAAAAATATTTCTTATCAAGCTTTAAAAGCTTATTAGTTGGTAAAGATATAAAAACTAAGAAATATACAAAAAATTATATAGCTATAATAATTTTTATTGTAAAAATAATTAAAATTAAATATTCTTAAAAATGAATAACAAATAAAAAATATTTAAATCATTACTTGAAAACTTCGTTTATAAAATGAAATGATTTTTATCTAAAATAATAATTATCTATACTATTTGTTTCATCAATTCAACATTTGTAAATATAAGTAAGTTAAATTTTCATTATATCAAAGAAAAACTTTTAATTTTATTATTTGCATGTATTTCAATGTATTAAGATGTATAAGTTATTGTAATTATTTATGGAATTTTTGTGTATCTTAATTTAAGCATAAATAATAAATTCCAAGATTGTAATATTGAGAATTAATTAAATTTATTATTACTTTTGTAATACATAATTCATTATGTTTAAATTATACTTTATAAATGAAAAATATATTATGTGACATACATAACGTATGCAAGTAATTTTTTTATTTTGATGATATCTATTATATTTAGATATATTTTATTTAAATAAAAAACAATGAATAAAAATATATAAATTTATGATACAATGAATTTTATTTTGAAATTCTAAAATTAAATATTGAAATATCATTTAATATTTGCTAATTTCATATGCTGTTACTACCAATTTGTGACACATTACAAGGGATATTTTACATTTTTTATTACATATAATGCTTATAATGCGATGACTATATTAAACCAAAAATAGAAAAACAGGAACAGGACTTTCACTTTGTTAAAATTATTAAAATATCAAAATGGTCAATAAATTATGATAATGGCTAGATCGTAACTCCTATTAATATTCACATAAATAGAGAATATTGATGCATTTATGACTTAACTCAATGACTTCAGATATCACATATTCCCCAAACTATGGAAGTTTGTCGGAATGATTTCTCTATTGAAACCGGATGAATCGGTTGAAATCGAAGGAAATTATATAGGCCGAACTCTGTGCTCTCTCTAGCAACCAAAGTTCTGTAGTCAATGATTTTTAAGCAGATATTGCCACTTCTTTGCTTATCCCCTATCAACATGATTTTTGAAAACATCACCACAGGTCTTTGTGATATTACATTTCTATTACGTATAGCTTCAATTAAGTTAAAATTGTTTGGCTGACACTCACAAAGGCATGAGTGTTTGACATAGTTTACATTGCAATTTTGTGCATTGACAGGGTCCAACGTGAAGTCAATAAAATATTGGATCCGCAAAAATGTGGTAGGCAAGGTTTTTTTTCTTAATTATCGTATACCGAAAAGACAGTGTTGTTTTACCTATTCTTTTTAATCTTTTTGTGCCCGAGGAGACAGTTTTCCAGAGGTAGTTGAAATCAAAACTTTGTACATAAATATATGACTTTCGCCTTGGTCCTGGACCCAGGTCGAATATTCAATAAGATCAATGCTTTCCTCTTCCAACTGGGTGGGTAAATACTTTAAAAATGCAGTGGATACAAACCGGACATACCTCATTTTCTCCATTTTTGTGGGTTTTTTTGCAATTTTTCCTATGGTGCTCTGTTGTGAACCTCACAGCTACGAGACGCACTAAGAATCTCCAGTGAAGGCAGAAGTCAATGCTTCACAATGAAATTGATTGACATCGCATGTCACATGAAAATCATTTCCATGCGGAATTTAAAATCTTCTTTGTTATGAAGCATAATCAGCTACTATCAATGAAATTTCTTCAATCATGCCACACAAGTGGATATCCAAACAGATCTATAGTTTGTAAGAACCTCTCTTCAAGTTACATACGTCGATTTCTTACATGGTGTAATGAGTATACATTGTAACATAATGCAATAGGAATAGCATATGTCTTTTTTACCTAAGCAATATTTCATTTAAGATAACCATTATGCAAGGAAAGATGTCTCTACAAGCAACAAGAACTGTCCTGAATAAATTGATGTACAGACGTTGCCACCTGCTAAATGGCTATAAAAACGCGTAAATACGCGTATGTCCATGTATGTCCATACATGGCAGATATCGTGAGATGCTAAGTTTCCTTCATCTGAACACAGGTTAGATTTGTTACCCCCATCTGTTTCTTTTCTTATTCTTATCTTATAACACATCAAACTCATTATGCCATTCCATTGAACTAGTTTTGTCATCTTCTTATATACTTGCTTAGGCTACCTGAGCAACATTATTTATAATAATAAAAAATTGTTATTATGAGCACTTTGTAAATGAAAATTTATGTTATTTCATATTTCTTACTAACTAGTATAAAAATATTTTATATCAAAACATTACAATTTTATAATACAATAGAATTTCATTTCTAATTGAATGAAACTAAAATTTATTTCCAACGATTTCCATACGCACGACCTTTATTAGCTTGGCCTGAAATTTGTAGGTCATCTTGTGCAGCTAAATCTTCATCAAATAGTAGCTCAAAATTTCCTAAAGCTTCTCGAGTTGGAACCTTATTCCAACGAACACTAAATGAAATACATTTATTAAAATAATTACATGTTATCCTAAAATAATATAAACAAGTTAATTGGACTTACTCGGGTAAACCGTCAGGTGGTAGTACCACTGACAAAACGTTGTCAATTAATTTATACTTAAGTATGCGATCAGTGACAGTAGTCGATGTCAATGAAGGCGATGCATTCACCTCTATTAACCAAGGTTTTAAGGTGTTATCGATAATTATGTCTATGCCATAACATTCGAAACAGTGACGATCGCTAGCCATGACTGGCGCTACAGCGCGCATAGAATGTACTATTAACCAGGTAATTTTACCGAAAAGTTCATCTGTCACTTCTTTTCCACACGTACTTTCAAGATAAAGCGTTAAATTTTGTACAGACCACTTTCCACCATGCATGCTATTATAATCACACTACATAGGAATATGAAATAAATGTCACTTCGAACAAAAAATAATTAAGTGATAACTTACGCCATGTTTCTGAACGCTGACATTGGTCAGATGCACGTACATATTGTCCAGTTCGGTAACACTTGTGTCATATTTGACAGTACAAAAACGACAGAAACCCAGTTTGTATTGATACACTTTTAGAGGACGAAATGATGTCACCAAAATGTACAAACGTAAATCAAATTTTTTTCCACCAATCAATAATGGATTATCAATATATCTACAAATAAAGTAGTTCTATTAAAAATATTCAACCATTAAATATCGCCTGAAAAAGTTTACCTAGATATAACATAGCTTTCTTTGGAGTTAATAGGATGAAATGGTCCCTTTGATTCGCGTGACCATTTTTTTAGTTTTGATAATTTATTAATGAGAAATATACCAGTACCCTGTGATTTGCCACAAGGTTTCATTATCCAAGTACTTGATGGATTCTTTCGATACTCCTCAACAAACATATTATAATCTACATATTTAAAATAGACAATAGTATAGATTTAAGACAATAGTATTTTCTTACCGAATAGATTAAATGTTAGATGTGAAAAAACCCACATGAATATGGAGGGATAGATCTCTTTTCATTCGAGGGTGTCAATATATGGTGTTAAAATATAAAAGAAATTCCTAGCGGCTAAAACCTTAATTTTAAGGTTTCGTACTTCTTTTTATATCTGAAAAAAAATCTATCCCTTTTCAAAAATAAGCAAACAATTATGTAAAGAATTTAAAGTTTGCAGAATAGTTTAATAAAAACAAAACAATTTGAACACTAAATCTATTAATAAGTAACAAATCAAATAAATATAGCGATTTTCTATAAATTTTTCTTCCAAATTGTTTTTTGTTTTGAATGTTAAAATCCCATCGGACATTTATTTTAAATAGTAAGAAAATATATATATATATATATACTTACCTGCTGGGAGCACGAAAGTTGTTGGTATGAAATCCAAATATAGGTATCGAGGATAACCTGAACCGTGATCTCCTTTTTCAGCTAAAGGATTGCCGTCACGTTCTAAATCTTTACGATATCTTTTGATATTTTTAACCAGTAAGTCCTTACGTGATAATTCATAATGATTAGGAAAATGATTAATCATTCTGTAAAAGAAAAATATGATCAGTTATAGAGTTATTAATATTATCTTTTACGATTAATATTGGAAAATATTGGATAAAATAACACAAAAATGATTTTTAATAGGAATTTTCACTATTCTATAGTTTATTACATTCTGAATATTCTGCATATTACTTTACTAGATTAAAAGCGTTTGGAACTAGATATATCTTCGACAATTCATTGACTATTTCATATTATTAATAAACGCATTTTTTGATTAGATTGGTTCATCGTAGTATTTCTTTTAAATATTTTTATTACTCATAAAACGAAATCACTGTTTTCGGTATACTTTAATACAAATTTTGGTTGCCATCTGAATGCTTTTACTGAAATTAACTAATTTGACCAGCTACTCCAAAAAAACTGGTGATCAGATTACGCTTATATAATCTTATAATTAACTGCTAAATAATGAGAAATGATATGTTTGAAAAAAAACGCTAACTTCTGGCACTTTTTTGAAAAAAGTTAAGAAATAATACCAACTAAATCAAAATTTAATTAACTTTAAAATGCTAAACCGATAATTCTATAGCAATTAAAATATTTAACTCACTGATTATCATGCATACGGTATCCACTGTCAACACTAAAAACATTGCGACATGTGGTAACACTGGACCAATAGAAATTCCAATCATCTTCTGCACTTACTTGAGACCAACCACGTTTTTCGAAATTATTTACCAAAACTGATTTATCAAAATCGGTACAGAAATTGATTTTTATACGCTCATGTCCATTAGTGTTAACTCTAAAAATAAATTTGATATAAATTACAACTCATTTAATTATAACATTTTATATTTTGTATATAATTATGTATGTGTTCTCACATTTGAAATTACCTGCCATAAATGTTCGATAAACTATTTTGTACACGTGCTTTCGAATCAATGCCTGCCATTCTTCTTACCTTACATCAAACTCTCGAGCCACTCGCAGGACTACTGAGCGACCATTAAATTATTCAACAAAGTTTTCAAAGGAATTGGCCTAGTAAAGAGTGCGGGTATTTAACAACTCCAACCAAAACGCAATTCTGCTTGAAGTTTATTGAACCAACAAGTTATGCAGCTCCAAAGTACAATAAAACGATTCACGTTACTAAGGAGTTGTTTTGCTCCACGTTTCCAAATTAGTTCCAAAATTTATAACAAATTGACATTTTTTTACAAATATTTCGAAATCAAAAAGTGCTATTGAGAATTATTTTTTGATTCAATTATTTTACAAAGTCAAGGCACATATGTATTTTTTTTCATACTATTATGTATTAATTTAATTACATTTTATATTGTCATTTAATTGCTGTATAAAAGTATCCTTAACAGTTTTTTTGGACCATAGTCTGAATTTCCAAACACGCCTGAGGTACACAAGTGAAAAAACATTAATATACGTCAACGCTCAAAGGCAATGAGAACTGTCCTCTTTGAATTTTCGATTCTAAACATTTATATATATGTTTTTCGGATATCCATGAAAGAGCTTCTAAAAATCCTTAACTCACTCTACTCAAAGTAGAGTAACTGTTATCTTTATTTTATATATAATAATACTATAATGATATACCATCTATATTTTTCTAATGTTTCAGCAAACATATGTTAATAGTTAATAGAAACCCAATTGCTATGGCCGCCGTAAAAGTTGAGAAAATTAGAATTAAACAGTACGGCACATTAACACATGGTGAAATACAGATAAGAAAATCAACGGCACAAATAGTGCTACTGATATATTATTAATATTGTTAAATATTATTAACTTTTATTATGTTAAGAATTAACGATCCTAACGATCCTCCTACATTTAGATTTTAAAGATTAATGATTTTATTAACCCTGTGAGATGACTTCAATTATAAATATAAAATATATATCGGGTGTACTACTCGTATAATAAAAACAAAAACAAATAAATTAATCTACTAGATTAATAACAATGATATTATCAGGGTTACAGGAATAAGATTACTTACCATGACAGAATAAGACTGAAACACAATGGCAATATAGATAGGATATCTTTAGAAAAAAGGTAGAAAATCTCGTAAAATTATTTTAAATATAAAGCTATAGAAAAGGGAAAACATATCGAAAGATCGATTCAATAGCTACTGATGGTGAGTAGTAACTCATTTAACTCTTATTATATTATTATTATAGAGCCTTGATTAAATATCTGAATTATTAGCGATTTCGTGATAGTCTCTTCATTTTTAATAACGTTCCGATTATTCGTAACAGAAGTCGTCTGGTAATAAATTTTTACAATAAATTATAACTTTAAGCCTTCGATATGCACTAATGTAAATAAAAACTTTCATAAAACATGTTATTCTGAAATTTTGCTCTTATAATGCACGGAAACGCTATTACTGGTAGATATTTGAGATAAAAAGGATTAGGATATCGATAAATTTTACACTAATCAAAAAATTGATTTAAGTAACGTAACATAATGATAAATTTATTTGAAGCTATGGTAGACCCATAGAGAACTATATATATATATATATATATATGAAAATATTGTAATAAATAACAAGAACCTTCTATCTCTTATTGGATGGCTATTGCTTTAATTTAAATTTGCTATTAAACGAATTTTTACTAGAGTCTTTGTAGTTGTGGATACGATACTTACATTTTTCATAGCGTGTTGTTTAAAGACACCCATGGGAGTTGAATTTGAACCACTGACAATATATTTAACTCGTAGACATATATAAGCTATTCGTCTTTAAATATTTCTGATTCGTTTGCATTATAAGTAACAGGTAATACCGCCTACATTTTAGTTCAAATATTTTACTAAACTGCGGATAAAGCTATCCTATGTACTTGGAAAAGATCTTGAAATTTAAGCTACTCTTTACACTGCGTATGAATGGAGTTTATAAATTTTAATTGGAAAAATAATGAAATCTTTTTCACATATTTTCATTGTTTATCCCATATTTGATTATCTTAGCGTCTCCTTCTGTTGAAAATAGTAGATACTGTTGCAACTTAGGTGGAAAGTATATATAAAAAAAATTAATAATTTACTGAAATTAAAACTAATTAATCAATATAATATAATTTATTTTTTTTATATATTAACAAACTACTAACATAATAGGGCTGCCTACAGTCGCAGTGATTATCAGCACCAAGTTAATTTCTGTATCTAGTTTCTATCACTGACATACGTATAGTAATATAATATTATATATATGAAAGATATCTTGAGAAAATTAACATAAAAATCCGTTTAGATAATGCATTAAAAGTATATGCACAACATATGAAAATATTCTAAAGATATATTTCTAAAATTTTCTATAAAATAGTTAACATATGTATTTTAATTTCTCTTGTTTTATCAGTTAAGAGAAAGATCGATCTCTTCTCGAAGATCCAAAAATACACAAATGCTTTTCCTATCCTCTTTGCAGTGAAAATCGAAAATCCGAATACTTTTACTCATTCAGTTTGTTTTAATCTTTCCGAGTGTCGCAACCAAAATCTTTTTAGTTAGAAAACTTATACAGAAAATAATAAAATAAATACTAAAATAATATATGCGTTAATTTATAAATAAATTCAAATCAAATTAGTAAAGAAAAAGATTTGTTTAAAATAAAATACAATAAAATACTTCGGAATTATTTGCATATTTAATCGGATGAAATAAAATTGTGAACATATAATGGATTTATTATTTTTAAGTAAACGCATTTTCTTGGGCACAGAAGAGGGTTTTACGCATGGGGGCATCATTGTCGATACCGAAGGCATTATAAGAAAAGTACTTAAATCAGCGCAAGAAGTAAACTCATACCTTTACAATACAGAATCAGAAGCAGTAAGGGAAAAATATAAAACATTATAAGACGAATTTTTATTTAATTTTTTTTTTTTACATTTAGGTTTACGATTTTGAAAATATGGTACTTATGCCGGGTTTGATTGATTCGAATGTGCATATAAATGAACCCGGACGTAAAGACTGGGAGGGCTTTTTATTAGCAACGAAAGCAGCTGCAGCCGGTGGTTTTACTACAATCATAGATCGACCCACGTAAGTTATTTAGTCGTCTATTAATGTAGAATAAAGTCACTGAAATTCCTATCAGTTACTGTCTGATTAAATACTCTATAGAAATGCTTCGCCGCCTACTACCAGCGTGGCAAATTTGAAAGCTAAGACATCTACTGCACGTGGTAAGCTCTATGTCGATGTTGGATTTTGGGGTGGATTAATACCAGACAATACAGAAGAAATAGAAGCTTTAACTAATGCCGGTGTTATGGGTATGCAGTGTACGTTATGTCCAAGTGCACAGCCAGTTACAACAGAATTTCCTGCTATGGACCGCGTACAATTAGAAAAAGCCATAAGCAAAATACCTGAGGATGTTTTAATTGCCGTAAATTTCTCAAAAATTACTATTATATAATTAAAATTATTGTTATAACGTTTTAAATATACTTTTTGTACAATTCTACAGTTTCATGCAGAATTACCACTTACACAGCCAATAAAACCTAATGAAGCTGAGCCTAAAATGTATGAGTCCTATTCACGTTCCCGTCCGATAAGTATGGAAACAGATGCTGTCCAATTGATCTGTGAGCTAGCACTTACTAACAAAAAGTAAATATTATATATTTATTAAAAGTGATGACTATCTTCCCAAACCATATTTCCTTTTATAAGACTTTTTAAGATTCTAAAAATTCGATTTTAATTTTAGTTTAAATCATTTTTTTATACTATCTTTTTTATTCGAAATCCATCACAATTTTTTAATTGAAAAAATGTTCTTTCCACTCAGAAAGCATTTCCATATACTGAATATAAGTGCTGCTGAGACTCTGCCGATTATTGAGCAATGTAAACGTAACGGAGGTAAGATAACCTCTGAAACGTGTCCACATTATTTGACACTTGCTGCAGAAGACATAGAAGACTGTCATACGGAGTATAAAGCTCAACCTCCAATAAGGAACAAACAGAATCAGAAAAAATTATGGCAAGGCTTAGAGAGTGGATGTATCGACTTGATTACTTCAGATCATTCACCTGCAACTCCTGGTGCCAAATGTTTAACCTACGGAAAAGCTCGTGGTAACTTTTTAAACGCTTGGCCAGGCATATCTTCACTTCAATTAGGTAAGAGACGAATTATTTTTCTAATACGTAAACCTATAGGAAAGTTTTTTTTTATGAATTTATCATAATACTAGCATTGATATTATCGATGTTATTATTATTGATATCCAAATATATTGTAACAGATTTTGATTACAAATTCGAAATATCTCTTATTTCAAATTTCCTAAACAAAACTTTTAATCGTTGAATTTATATTGGTAATAATAGTAGATACTCTATGAGTCAGATGACCAGATTTCTATAGCCTACAAATGGGATAGATTCAAATCAGACTCTTTTTGATTTGTTTTTCTAAAATTTTTACACTTTTATAGCCCTTTTAATTTGTGATGTACAGTTTCTGCTCAATTTTAATTATTTATAATATTTATTATTATTTTATTTATATCTTGTAACATTTTCTGAAAATTGGACGATTTTAGTTTTTTTTAAATTTCTTAAATTTTTCCAAATTTAACGTCTTTAATTTTTAAATTTTTTTGTTTGAAGGTCTGTCAATTATATGGACCTCATGTGAGCAACATGGTCTTGGATTAAATCATATATATAATTTAATGTGTAAAAATCCTGCAAAACTTTGCGGTTTGGAAAAGTTCAAAAGTAAGATTGAAGTTGGTTATGACGCTGACTTTTGTATATGGGATCCAGATGAAGATTTTGAAGTTACACCAGATATGTTATATTCCGCAAATAAGGTAAATATGTTATATTACAATTTCATTGTATTATGTATACTCTAATATATATTTTATATGAAGGCAACTCCTTATACTAATAAGCGACTACGGGGCGTTGTACATGCTACCATTGTACGAGGTCTACATGTGTTTCAGAAATATGAAGGATTTGGGCAGCCATTAGGGAAGGTATTGTTCCGAAAAAGTGGGAAAAAAATTGTTAAATTCGTACGAATGTAGGCTTAATTATTTTAAAATACTCACAAATATATAAATAATAAATATTTGTTTTGGAAACTTTGGAAAAAAAGCGCTTTATGTCGTTAAAAATATTTTTTATAATTGAAATGTTTTTTTATGGATTTAAATAGAATAAAAAATACCAGTTTTATAGATATATTATATTTGTCTATATGTAGTTTCTTGGTGTCAAATCAAACTACTTCTCTAAACACCTATTCATTCTGTTAACCAAAGCATTTATTCTATCACAAAGAAAATTCGTACCTGAATATTTTTATCTAAGTTTTCACAATTTATACAACTATGGATAAAAAAGAATGCACGCCTACTCTACATGGATTCCAATATACTAATAAACTGAAAAAACTACTAGCTTAGTTTACTATATCCTAGAACCTGATTTCATATTTAGATCATTTGTAAGTGGTCACTAACCAATGGAAAATTCAGTAAAATAAAGTTATTTATAGCTATAATAGAAAACAATTCGAACAATTGAAGAAAAATCATTAATATAGATGATGAGATTTAAACCGTAGGTATACCTCTCTTAAACTAACCATTTCTTTCTGTTATTCGATTAACAGTATACCACTTGCTTAAAATTTAAAGTATAAACAAATTAAATATTTAAAGATTAATTAATTTGTAACATTAATGTTTATTTGTTTTTTTGTCAATATATATGAGGTTTATTAAAAGTTATTTTTATAGACATGTCCAGTAATTTCTAGAACCTAAAATAGGTATACCCATCATATATCTTTATATGTGTAATAAATACACATAGTCTATTAGAAGTACATAAAGCTCTAAAAATAATAAAAAATTTTTTATTAAAATTTTGCATGTGAGTGAGGTGTTGTGGTAGGAGAAGTGTTATCAAATTTTTTGAATTATTTAGTATAAAAAATTTTATATTTCTACCTATTGTAGTTTGAGAGATATTCAAAAATATTAAAAATTTGATCATGTTTCGGCTCAAAACAAAACAAATTCCAGGAAGCTGATTAAGCACAAAAAACATTCAAAAGAAAGCACATCTTAGAGACTATGTCATGTTTCGGCTCAAATTTGAACGTTCCAGTAAGGTAAATGGGTTCAAAAAACATTCAAAAGAAAGCACATCTTAAAAAAATATATCATGTTTCGGCTCAAATTTGAACGTTCCAGTAAGGTAAATGGGTTCAAAAAGCATTCAAAAGAAAGCACATCTCAAAAAATATATCATTTTTCGGCTCAAATTTGAACAAGTTCTAGTAATTTGATTAGGCTTAAAATACACAAAGCACATCTCAAGAACTATATCATGTTTTGGATCAAATTTGAACGTTCCAGTAAGGTGAATGGGTTCAAAAAACATTCAAAATAAGCACATCTCAAAAAATATCATTTTTTGGCTCAAATTTGAACTTTCCAGTAAGCTGATTGTGCTCAGAATACATTCAATAGAAAGCACATCTCAAGAACTATATCATGTTTCGACTCAAATTTGAACAAGTTTGAACAAGTAAGTTGATTGTGCTCGAAATACATTCAAAAGAAATCCCTTTTCAAGAAATATATCATGTTGCGGCTCAAATTTGAATGGTTCCAAAATACATTCAAAAGAAAGCACATTCCAAGAACTATATCCTATTTGGTTCGAATTTGAACAAGTTCTGGTAAGTTGTTTGGGCTAAAAATACACAAAGCACATCTCAAAAAAAAAATTTTCTTTTAATATCTCTACTAGTTTAGAAAATATCGAATTTTGATCGCCTAATTTTAATTCTGTGACACTGTACGGTGCTGCGACGTTCAGTTTATACCGTAAATGCGGTAAAATTGCGGTAAGTAGTGTTTTTAGAGTCATGTGCAGCGGTGCTTATTAAATCGTGATGCGGTAAACTAAAGAGATTCAAGGGTTGATGTTCGCCAAAGGTAAAAGTGTATGGTCAAACAATATTTCTCCTCTGCAGAAATCATGAAATTTGTCTTCATTTTGGTTTGATTTCTTAGCCACTTTGATATTTGACACATAACCACTGCGTTTTACTATCCACCAATTTATATATAATAATTAAAACAAATTTTCGTTTCTTCATAATCTTGAAGTAATAATGCTTTTGATAAGATTTCCAAACTTCTCAAATAAAATTATATCAAAGAACAAAAATGAACAAAATTAATATTCAGAACATTTTACTATATTATATATCTACCACATATATCAATAACATAAAAAATTTTCACATAATCGCACAGTTTCAACGTCAAGTGTTCAGCATCAAAAAAAAATAAAAAAAAACAAAAAGAAAAATAATCACAAAGAAAAGACATATAATTCAATATTGAAATGAATTGCAAAGCAACAAGTTGTCACGTGGCAACATATTATGCCCTCTCCTATGCACTCTTGCTAGTAGCTAACAGCGAACCCCCAACCATGTTAAATCACTCTGAATTCAATTTATATTACCAGCTACTGTCGTCTCTGTCAGCTGGTTACCAACACATGCCACGTGCAACAACCAAAGCAATAACCAAAGCAATACATTTATCACGAAAGGGTAGCAGAAAGCGCAAGGGGATTTCGGCTACAACTAGATTATACCGCAAACACACTCTCATACACATACAAGCACACAATATCTGAATTTATTTTAATGTCAAAAACGATACAATCAAAAACGTAAACGTTTGAATGTCGTAGCTGCGTGACGTAATGTTGTTATTTGATTTGCATGTGTTTGGTTTGTGTTTATGGCAGTTTCGTTTTACATGATTATGCATGCGTATGAGTGTATCCAAGCATACCGACGTCATGTTTTGGCTTCGCTGATTTCTGCGGCTTCATGTAGCTTTCTTTGTTGTTTAAGAATTTTATATGCAATGAAACGAATATAAAATAAACAAAAAGTATTAAATGTAAAGCAACAACATTAACAACAAAATGTCGCAAAAATTTTGAAAAACTGAGAAGAAGAACTGAGAAAAAGCCAATACGCAATAACAAAATTAACAGAATCAAAAACACTTGATGGATTTCATTTCATTCGTTCTGTCGTTGACAGATTCACAGTTAAGACCCCTGCCGCTAAACAGTGTTGCCTCTACGCAACGCTTCTTCAGCATAAATACTTACGCACTAAATGTTATTGGCATGTGCATACATAAGAAAACAGTTTGACATTAGATTACGTATAGATGTAGATTTCATATTTATTTTTGTGTGTTATTTTATTGTTTTATTTATTTTAAAATTTAATGTTTCTTTTTAAGAACAAATCTTTATTTATAAATCATTTAATGCGTCTCGTTTCATTCTTTTTTGTTTTTGTTTTTGTTTTTGTTTCTGTTTTGTATGGAGTGCTAAATACAATAAATTTTTCACATTTTTAAAAGCCTATTAAGATATTAACTTAAGGCAATGAGAAAATTACTCATACGTCGTGATGTACAAACCCCTTAAATATTCATGAGTTGTATTTTAGTCATTAAATAATTTCAAGTTGAGATGAGAATAAATTTAAACATTTACATATAAATTTAAATATAAACTTTCTATATATTATAATTTTTAGTTTTAATAGTTGAATGAGCAACATTTAATTGGAAAGAAAATAATCAAATAATACTCTCAATCATTTTAAGTATCTTTCTTATGACTTTTTGTGATTTACCTATAAAAAAAGGTAATATGAAAAAGTTAAAAAAAAATTTTTTTCTTTTTGTTATATACAGAATATACGAATACATATTATTATGTTGAGGCTAGTTGAGTCTTTGCACTTCAGCACTTTTTCTCTCTATTAACTGCGAGGTTTGTTCATAACTGCTCTCTACACCTTGATTATGGTTTATCAGTTCATCAGACTAAGCAATAACTGACCTCAGATCTGCATACCTCCCCGAGAAGCCTGTAACTATTCTGAGATTCGATAATGCGGTGTTGGTAAGCATGTTAGTTTTCGTAAATTGTTTCAAGGCTGTATCCTGTATGTTTTTTTGAACGCATCAATCTTGAGGTCCCTAAAGATGTCATTCGTCCTAATGTACAGCAGGTAAAGAGTAGTGATTTTATAAAGATTATATATCAGCATCATAATAAAAAGGTGCTGCATTTAATATGACTTTTATATTATCAAAATTAAACTTGTTTATTAAAAAACGAAGTAACAACCTCATTTTTACAGCTGTTACTTTAGAATAACAAAAGAATATTTAAAATTATGTATGTATATTTCATAAAATTTAAAACTAAACGCATGAATAATTTTTTCTTAGACGTCCCAAGACGTCTTAAGACTTCACATCGTCATTGACAAAAAAAAATATTATATATTTTAATATAATTATCAACTTTCAAATGCTTATAACGGTATTATAATGTCTATAACATGTTCAAGAAAATTTTATAATGATAAGTCTTTAATTTTTCTCCTCTTAATTTATTCATAGTATTTTATATTAAACATTATATAATACGTATATCACTTTATACAGGTTTTATTATTTAAACTAAATAAAAAAATCAGCTAAATTAATTCACTACACCGTTTATTGTTTTAGTTTTATATTATTTACAATTTATATTTAGATTAGTTCTGATTGTACATAAAACATTGTGTTTTCATGTTGGTCTGATACAACATTCATCAAAGTCCTTTAAAGCTTTGTAAATAAAGTCCAGAACTAAATCTTGAGAAGAGCTCTAAATCTGTTCTGGTGGCAGAAATTTCATATGAAATAATTTTCTTATGTGCGTTATTAGTACTAGACAGTCACAAACAAGATGCATAGTAGTTTCCTCATCTTCGTGGCATAATACATATGCTAAGTTGGAATCTTAGCAAATAATCGAAATTTATGAAAATAATATTTCAGACCATATTGACCTGTAATGAAACCCGTTATTAACCTCAAATTACATTTTGAGAATTTTAGAATGTTTTTATAGGAGTACGATTTTATCAGTGTTTTGCTTTGTCTAAGTCCTGGGAAGTCTTCCCATATGATTTTC